GTTTTGCTTCTAGACATTCCAAATCACTTTGTTGATACGGAGGTTCCCATTAATGTTTATGAAGTAAAGAGAAACAAAACATCCGTTTTGCAGGAGACATAATATCGAAAGAATGAATTTTGGAGAAAGAATTTGAAGTCATGAAGAAAGATGATGTTACAGATAAGATTATTACAAAAGATAAAAGACGAGAAAAACTCAAGAAAAGGGTTAAGTTAATATAAGAATTGGAAGATGAAAATGTTATAACTTTATCAAATGAATTTGATAATAATGAAAGTATTGAAAGAAATTTTGATGACTCATCAAAGGATGAGGAGGAGGATATTGAAATTCCAATAAGTAAAAAACAAAAGTTATTGGAAGTAGAAGAACCAGTAACTTTAGAAGATCAAGAAGCATTAGCTTTAAAATTATTGAATCTCTTTTAAGTAATAGATGTTTGCGCATTTTATTGAACAAAGAATCTATTTCGCGATAAGGAAATTAGAAGAAACTCGAACGAATTTTTTTTAAAACTTTTACGCGTGATAGAAAAAAAATTGTATATAAAAAAACTTCATTTAATTGAAGTCATAATAAAATTAATGATATTATTAAATTGATAGTACGTATTTAAATAAAACAATAAAGTATGATTCTTTTTTATTTTATATAAATAAATAAACAGTAGTAAAATGATGAAATTCTACTACATATAATCAAATATACGTATTAATCATTCTTCTATAAAATTTATATTAGTATTTTATATATCAAATGAATTGAAAATTAAATAAATTAAATAAAGTTGATAAAAATCTATTAATTTATATACTAAATACAAAAGCTAATTTTAAATCATCTAATCATTTGCCAATTGGTAATAACATACAGCTTATTAAATTTAATGATTAAAATATTAAATAGTAATATATTTATTTCTTTAGTATTAACTAATAAAACACTAATAATTTTTTATTTATTGATAAAATTAATTACTATTTAAAATGTTTTATTATAATAAATTTCATAAAAGTTATATAATTTTTTATATTTAATAAATAGTTAAATGTTTTACGATTTATTATAATAAAAATATTAAAATATTATATTAATTATTATAAATAAAATTTTATTTTATATAAAATTTATTAGATTTATAATAATTAAATTTATTGGTCAATCTATTAAAATTATGTTGATTTAGTAGAGTTAAAAAAAGAGTTTAAAATCAAATTCCAAAGGATAACCAAGAAGTTATCTAATTATACCTTTGATTAAGCTTTTCCTAAACAATATATTATTAGTATTAATTTTAAATTCTAGACTCAATTCCTATTATATCTAAATTTTGAAAAGTTCTAATTGATTTTAATGGTTCTAAATAATTTTAAAAATTATTAATTTAATAATTAATTTTTTTTAATAATATTTTATAATCATTTTTAATTAAAATTACTTATTAAAATAAATTGAAAGTTTTTTAAAATTTAAATTTTTCAAAAAAATATTAGATTAGAATTTAAATCCTAAAAACTAGATTTTAAATTAAATAAATTTTTAATTTTAAATAGTTATTTTAAATTAATAAACAAATTTATTTATTTTAATTATTAAAAAGATAAAATTATTATTAAAAAATCTAATTAAAAATATATAAATAAAAATTCTTTTTAAATCTTTAAGAATAATTAAAATTTAATAAGACTTTACTAACTTTAGTTATATTAGTAACATAAAAATAAGTATTATATAAATTCTTTATCTTATAATTTTATATAAAATTATAAGCTTATCAAAATATTTATTTATTATTATATAAGTCAATTATTTTATTGACTAAAAAAAAACTTCAACGTATTTAGTAAAATTTTAGATTTCTAAAAATAATAACTTAATATAATAATTCTAAAATCTTGATCACATCAATAGATTATTAATACAATCAATACAAAGAAGAGTAATGATAGATTTGATTTACATTACAAGTTTAACTGATTAAAATTTTAAAATAAAAGTTAGTTTATTAAATAAAAAAATTGGATTTATACTATTTAATAATTTCTATAAATCCTTATTCATAAACTTATAAAATTATAAATTCTATAAATAATAAATTAATTCAAAGCTAAACTAACTTTAATTTAATTATTAAAATTATATAAAAATTTTATCTTATTTTAAACTTTTTGATTTACTTCTATTATTTATTAAAGATAAAGTAAAATCTAATAAACTATAGAAATATTATAAATATTATTAATTTAATTAATAAGTTTAACTAAGTAAACTTTTTTTAATTATATTAATATATTTAACTTGATTAATTTTGTTAAAGATATTATTATAATTTTTATCATTTTCATAACTTTAGTCAATTAATCATTAAATTGTGATTAAGTTATTATACAATTTTATTTAATAATAATCTATAAAATTATCTTATTAAAAATAAAATATAATTAAAAATTAATAATAAAATAATTAATATTAAAATTAAAAATAAAAAAATTTTTTTTAACTTTTAATATTTTTTGTAATATTCCTTTAATTAATATTAAAATTATTAAATGATTTTAATTAATATAAACAAAAAAAAATATTAAAAATTTAAATAAATTTTTTTATTTTTTTTATTATTAATAATTAAATTATTATTTTTATTTTCTAATAAAAATAAATTTAATTAAAAATAAAGTATACTATAAATTAAAATAATAAAGTTTATATTACCTAAATTCTTATTAAAAAACTAATTAAAAATTATTTATAGTAATATTATTATCAACAATTACTTTATTTTCAATAATAGCTATATTATTATATTTTAGATATTGATTATATAAATAAAATACAGTGATAGTCAAAAAAAATATAACAATTTATTTTTAGCTTTAAAAATTTATAACTTATTAATTATAAATACTAAAAATATAATTTTTAATTCATTTTATTCCTTAAATTTTGAAAAAATATTCTATAAAAATTTATTAGTCAATTAATAATGCCAATTTTGTATAATATAAAGATCTACATTAAAAATAATATTTAATAATTTTTAAGCTTAGAAAACTTTTTTAAACAGGCTAGCTATCATAAACTAATATTAGATTCTGATTTTTTTTTGTATAATAATCCTAATAAGCTAAATTTTATTTAAATTAGACTATTTAATCAGAAAATATTATGTAGCAAATATTAACATTTTATTATAAAAAATTATTCTAACCAATTTTATTTAAAACAAGAAATAACTAAACTTCCTATTATTCCTGTTATTACCATTTCTAATAATGTAATCTTATTCTATATCATAATAATATTCTAATAGAATCACCAATTAGGAGTTTTTATAAAGTTTTTCATAGCAAAAATATTTGTGATTTCTTATTACTTAACAGAAATCAAGAGCTTCAATCTTTAACATATAACTTAACAATTAATTAGATAATGATTTAAAATGTTCTCTTCTTAGATTTTTCTTCTCTTATCACTTCATTTTCTTCTAACTATTTTAAGACTTTTGTTTTCAAATACCTAGCTAATGAACTTCCAGTTTTATTTAGATTAGAATAATTTTGATCTATCCTCTATAAAAATTGGAAATGTATATAAGTTATAATTACTATAATGAGATACAGGAATTATATTTAGCTTTATTTAATAATATAATTCTTTTTAATAATTCATTTTTGATATTAAGATTTATTTACTTAATCAGTTTATGAATTATGATCTGTTCTTATCAGAATCATCCTTTCACAATAATACATACTTATTTCAACATATTTTTAATAATGATCATCACTAATATTACATATTTATTAATTTGACATAGGCTATAGTCCTAATTTTCATAATTAATCTTATTCATAAAATCACTTATAATAGAAATATTTACATATCAATTACTATGAAAATACTTCTATTTTTCTTACAAAGAATTTATGAAAACATAAAAAAATACTAAAGCAAAATTTTACGAAGCAAAGAATAATCATTAGATATTACTAAATAAGACAAACTTAAAAAATATGTTATTAATAGTTTAAAATATGCTTTCTTAAATCAAGTTTTTAATAATTGAGAGATTTGAATATACTTAACGAATAGATTTAATAATAAATATTTAGATTTTTAGATAGGTACTGACTTTTTCTTTTTTTTCATTAATTATAAATAATCATTAGATATATATTTAGTAGAATTATTAGAAAGAAATAACAATAATAGGTTAATTTAAATGATTTTGAAAGATAATTATAAAATAGCTAATATTTATATATAGATTTTAAATTTTACTTTTATATTTTGTATAACTTTAATAAAGTTATCGGCAGTATCACATTGTTAAAAAAATTTTATATAATAAAATATCAATCTAAGATAATTTATATTTTCTGATTAAATGGTCTAATTTAGATGAAATTTAGCTTATTAAAATCATCATGCAAAGAAGAATCAGAATTTAATATCAGTTTTATGATAGTTAGCCTGCTTAAAAGTTTTCTAAGCTTAAAAATTATTAAGTATTATTTTTAATATAGAACTTTACAGTATTTAAACATTTTGCTGAATCTATTTTACCAAAATTTATTTTACTAAAGTTAATTAAAAAGACTCTTCATCAAATAATCACTTTGTTAAATAAATTTTTTACCAAAAGATATTTTCACCAAAATACTATTATACTAAAATGCTATTTTACTGAAACCTTTTTGCTAAACAGATACTTTACTGAATTCATTTTACTAAAAGAACATTTTACTGAAATAACTACTACAGTTGAAACTTTTTATAGCGAATTTTAATTTTTGGAGATCACAATTCGTTATAATAAGAGAATTCAGTAACATTTTACCAAATTTTAAAAGATCATTTGCTATAAAGTGATACCAAAAATCATATCTAAATTCAGTATATAATTATAATAGAAAATCATGACACATTTACATTTTTATTATATATACAGAAGGTCAATTTTTATTGGTTATAAATTCAACATAACTTTATTACAATAAAATCAAAAAAAATCAAAAAAAATCTTTTCAACCTGTCAAATATATCCTATTCTTTATTAATATTAGCCCTATTCATATTTTTCAAATATGAATTTAACGTAACTTGCTGTTTAGATTGGAATTTTTCTCATTTTACTGCTTTTCTAACAATTTACAATTACTTCTGGTTGAACCAAATCCTATGCTTTTGCTATATATTTAATTGCTTTTTTTTATTGTAATTTCAGATATAGGTTGACCAGTTTCTTGATTATTATCAAATATTTTAATACAATTTTGCAAAAATAACTTCTGATATTGTGTCTATATTTATTAATAAATTATATATTAGTAAGTTGATTTTTTATTTTATAATATGAATTTTATTAAAATTACTTACTTTAAAACTTCTAATAATTCCAG